CGCCCCCCCCCCCCTCCCCCCCCACCCCCCTCTTGAGTCCACCCTGCGATAAGCGGACCAACAGAAGCACATTTGACCCTCCGGGGTAAATCGAAGAGACACTACGGCTTATCCTCGAAGTTGAAAACATGTAAAATACGGTGTCATGTGGATGACAGCATTGGTTTTTCACCTGTGCGAGAGTTCTTCCATGTACACGTTGTCCAGTAGTCGCACGTTTTCGACGTTCTTTTTGTCCTGCGGAGCCGCCGCAACCTCGACTTGACCGTACTTATCCCGCCATCTTTGGTATGAGACGTCGTGCACTGCGCGGCAGGTGGATGACAAGCAGCAAATCTTAGCGTGGCCTCATGGGGACTTGGAAATAACTCAATTCAGACGGTCATGTTCGGGTGAGAAATGCAGAAAATTCTTCGCATGGAACATCACCTAAATTGTCGTCAGGCGGCAAGTGCGCGGTACGCGTGCTAACTGAGTGCATCGCGAGTCGAGTACCACCAGCCGCCATGCGTGCCCCTGGGTCAGTATCGTCGCCGCGGGATCGCAACCACATGTGGTGGCATGAAGATGGCGCGGTGGTATCCTCTTCGATGATGGTCTCCTCCGGCGCTTTGCTGCTTTCGACGCAAGAGTTAGCTTCTTGATCTTCCTCGCCACCAAAAAATTAGCATCGGCAAACGCGACGATGGTTAGTGTTTAGACCTGCTGTGTAACAGCACGGGTTGGATGCAAGTAATGTGCTTATTTGGCACTGCATGCTGCCCGTTCTCAGATGCGTTAGGAGCGAGTGACCCATCTTGCCGAAGGCAACTTGTCAGTGATACCATGGTCCAACATAAGATGAACAATACCTTCAAATATACTGTCGTCACAGGTCGCCGATGCCGTGCTTGGCTCTTCCGGAAATGCGGTTGACGCAGACAGATCATTCTGGATAGCGTGGAAAAGTTTGGAAAGAATCCCACCATCTTCACGGTCGACCTCAACAAAATCAGTAGGAGGAGACGATTCTCCGTTCGACGCAGTGTCACAGGTAGATGCCGGAGCAGTCTCGGTACCACTCCTGTCCGCCTGTAGCGAACTATGCTGCTCGTTGGCCTTGTCGTGGGAGATGAGATTCTCCCTAGTGAGCGTGTCAACAACCACCTTCCCTCGCGTACGAGAGAAGCCTAGAGATACCGTTAACAGCGTGGAGCTGCGGAGAAGGACCACGGCCTGCAACTGCATCTTGGGGTCTTCCCCTTCCGAGGCAATAACAACCATCGCTTTGCGGCTGAAAAAGCTTCCGCCAGTTGCACGGGGAATCTCGAACCAGTGGCTGTGCCCTGGCGGAATGACCACCATCTGAGGAACGCACAATTCTGCACTGCCAATGCTAGCGGGTGGGTAGAACTTGTGGTCCACATTGCTTTCGAACCCCGCCCCCGCCCGTGCGTTTATAGACTCCAAGCCAGCGCTCCATGTAGACATGTTCATCACAAACACACGGATGCCCTCGCCGTTGCTGTTGTTCCTGATGACGCTTTTGTGCCTCCTTCTTTGCCCCAAGGGGATTCTCTCCGAGTTGACCATCCGAGGGCCGAAAGCGAGCTCGAGCGGCTTTTTGTTCCTATTGCTGCTCCAAACCGTCATGTTGGTGTTACTAAGCCACGAGCAGAGGAGAGACAAACCGCAGAGGCAGCAATACGGCGACGGCAAAATAACGTTGGCAAAAAATCCGTGAGGCATGTTGAATGTCCAGGTGGGCACATTGTAGCCACTAAGAAAAGCTCCGGCCCTGGGAGCTGTGGGTCTCGCCGGGAGTCGTGAGGGTGCATGGGCTTTGGTCGAACAACCTAACCAATTTCGGGTGAAGCAAGGAGCAATCGGGTACCCAGGGGGTGAGTAGCCAGATCGGGGCCACCCCGTGGAAAGACGTCAAGGTCGGGTAGGGGTAGGCATTGACCAATCAGATGGTGTCATGTGATCGCTCCCAGCAGCGCCCTGTAGGGGTACTCGATAATGGCCGTGGTTGGACCCGGTGTACCCGATTTTGGCCACTGCTATTTTCTCGAATGAATGCGTTTTGCCGACTCTCGCCACCTCAACTGTCGTGGGTCCTACGACCCCGTGTCCTCTATCAGTCGCCAAGCAAGACGTTGCATAAAGACAGCTCGCGGGGAATAGTTTTTCAATTGCTGCGGCGTGACTCTGTGCACAGAAACCACCAAAAACCCAAATCGGTGCGGGAACATATGTATTTGGTATTACGTCTACCGTAGTTGACCTACTGTAAGATACCACGCCCATTGTATCGATTTTAAAAGCTCGAGTACTCCACGTCGAAGAGGATGCGTAAACCCAGCGAGAACTTGGCGGAAATCTCTCGACGAGATGGTCCCCTCATCCCCATGATCGGCACCGCCACTCTTTGTGGTGTAGAGCAACCGAACTTTGAAAGTGGTCCAGGGGGTGCATCACCTGCTGTGGTACCGCCGTATGAACACGTCAACGACCGGCCCTTCGTTCCAGGAGCCTATTTTCAAAATGATCGAAAGCATCGCAGGCACAAAGACCACTGCAAGGTTTGAGTCGGCCACCCCACGGCTCATTCCGCTCTATCTACTTGTAGCATGCAGTCTAGACTAATCCGCAAAGCACGTCCATTTATCGACTCCTCCCCGCACACGGTCAGTGAGGTCTTGAACAGCAGTTATGACAAATTAGTTCCCCCTCTTGTCTTTTGGCAACCTTTTTCCTGGGTACGGGCCGCCCAGAGCACGGAGAGTGTTGCGGAGAAGATGGCCCAGTGGAAGATTAGCTGCTGTAGGGTCTAGTAGAAGAAACGGCACAAATCGATCCGTCGGGCGCGATGGATGGATGATCTGCGTCTAGGGGACAACTGGCGGTTTGCCGGGTTACTCACATACCTCTCCGATCGTTCAATCATTTTAGGCACGCTCCGAGAAAACAACGCCAACAACAGAGCAAAAAAGAAGACGACTTGCCAGGGCACGCGCCGACCTTCACCAGGGTTGCCGCGTGCATGTCATCTCGTTTACTGCTTATCTCTGCACTTGTCTGCGACGCTCTCTCCAAGGTGATTACACCTACGCACCCTGGCTACCGCTGTTGGATGCTTTTTTGCGTCGTGCGTCGTGTATGGTGCGAGGGAAAATCAACAAGTACCATCCCTCGCTGCCTCGGCAAGGTTTTGCGTAGGCATGACCCATAGCGAGGGGGGGTGTCTTTCTAGCGAGCAGGGCTAGACTCACCCTCAGGGGACCGATACCTTCTTGCTGCGGCGCACCCGCCGCGAGGCGTGCGTCGTGGAGTTGGGTCGGCACTGGTGCGTCAGGTGCAAAGGTGCAAATGCGCGGGCCTCCAGGCCGTCGGTGTAGGCAGCAATGCCCATCTCATCTTTGTGCGCGGAGGCAGACGTCATCAGAAAGGTGGACGGGCACTATGTACACGGCCCTAGGTTTGCTAGAGGGAGCTGTACTGTCTCAGTAACTTGGTTTTGCTATCAAAGGAGGAGGGGACAGGTGGTGACGAGCTGATTGGGCTGGTTGACCTTTCGGCGCGAGAATTTTCAGACCGAGAACCCTAAGTGCAACGAGGGAGAAAGCGAGGAACCGACTGGAAAGGACAGCAACGAGAGCGTGTACGAAGCGGAGCAGGTCGAGTTTGGTCGTGCTAGGACTGGCCACAGCGGCACCGGAGCAGCGGAACCGGAGCAGCGGAACCGGAGCAGGCGGACGGCATCGAACCGTGGCGCACGGACAAACACATCTCTTGTATTGTCAATAACTTTTCCGTTTTTTTTCCTGAACACAGGTGTTGTTGGGTGTGTGTAATGACGTCATTGGTTTTGGAGAGAGACGCGGCAGAGATGGCGCGGATAACCCGGGTGCCTTAAGTGTGTACCTGCATCGTGGAAGACCCCTTTGATGTGGAACGATTCCTAATCAGTGTCGATGTTTACACTGCTGTGCCTGACACAGATGATCTGGATAGATTCGGGTGATTGTCAATTGCAATGATGGCTTTGGTTGGCGTTCTTCTCCATTGTATGTCCACAAACTCATTCTGACAGCACTTCAGACAGCAGCTGCATGCCCCGAGCTTGTGTACCATGCACCATGGTGTTATTATTGTACAGACAGCACTTCAGACAGCAAGACGCTGTAGTATGTGTTTGTCGGCCGTACTCCGCGTACTTATCGGGACTTGTTTGTGTAGTGTATTAACTTCAGACGGTGAGACAACGCCCGTACCCAGGACGCTGTCGTGCTCGGAAAGCAGGAGGAGANACACCATCTGCGTCACACTTGTACGTACGGGTAATGCATCCATCATGTCCGGAGACCCACGAACAGTATGTTGTAGTCGACAAACATTCATTTTGGTTAAATGCGGGACAAGGGGGGTGATGCTGCTGCTGTAGTTGATTTGTAGTTTTTTTTTTTATTGTTTTTCTCCCATCATTGGACTCTATCGTCTCCCCTCAGGCCCCTATCCTCCACTTCTACTAGCCCCAACCCCGGGTGACGTAAGAGGGGGGGGTTGGACCCCCTCCTGCGGTCTATACCTGAGGTATTTTTATCGCGAGAAGGGTACAGCAATCCCTTCCCTCGCGACTTACGAAGTCGATTATGGTTTACTAACAAACGAGCTTTGCAGCGCGTCGCTTTCATCCTAGACCAGGATTTATTTAGTGAGAAAAAAACTCTCTCTGCCGGGACTCGAACCCATGATCTGGCCCGTGGAAAGGTGCGAAGTTACCCACTAGACCACTGGGGCGACCGGGAAGTTTATTTTTTTGTTTTTGTTTTTATCCCATCATTATTGGACTCTGTCGTCTGCCCCTCTGGCCCCTATCCTCCACTTCTACTAACTAGACGACCCAACCGGGGTCACATAGGAGGGGGGGGTTGGGCCCCCTCCTGCGGTTCATGCCTGAGGTATTTTTATCGCGAGAAGGGTACAGCAATCCCTTCCCTCGCGACTTACGAAGTCGATTATGGTTTACTAACAAACGAGCTTTGCAGCGGGTCGCTTTCATCCTAGACCAGGATTTTATCAATGAGAAAAAAACTCTCTCTGCCGGGACTCGAACCCATGACCTAGCCCCTGGCAGGCTGCGAGGCTACCCACTAGACCACCGGGGCCACCGGTAGTGTGTGGGCGTGTAGTTCAGTTGTGAGCACGCAAACGTGCTGCAGGGATTGCAGGTGTACCTCCTCGGGCTTGCGTACCCTTTCCTTGCTAATAGTGTGTGTGTTCTTTAGATCTTCTGATGGCTCTACTAGCATTTTTGTGACCACGGACCGAGTCTTTGCTAGATTTTGGGATTAGCAACTGACACGAGTTTAACGTGAATAAACAACAACAACAACCATCCGGCCGGAAGATCATTAGAAAAAAAAGGGCGACAACAACAGCGCAGACACTCGGGGACATGGCCAAACAGAAAAACAACTGCTTGAACCCAGTGGTGTACAGCGTCAAAGGTCCGCACGGGGCTTACGCCACAACCCCTCAAGTTTCAACGATGCAATGAATGTGCTTGTTTGATTCGTCGCCAACTCTGGAGGACTAGATTATATTCCCGGCGGCACGACTTCGTTCGGTGGAAAGAAAAGAGAGGTAGTCTAGCAACAAAGAGGGTGTGACATGTGAAACCGCGTCGTAACCGCAACAACACACAACTCAATCAAGTGAAAATATGTACAGCCATGCTTACTTCTGTGAAACAGGCTGCCTGCTCGTCAGCCCTGCTGGCTCTGGTGGTGCGGGTTGGTGTGGACAAAGCCAAGCCGGGTGAGGAGTCCTAAAAATGTTCAACTCGCTTGGGGCCCCGCACTTGGACCTCCAACAACAACAGCATACATACATACATACATATCATACCCAGCCAGCCCCGGGAAGGTTTTGCGTAGGCATGACCCGTAGCGATTGGGGGGGTCTTTCTAGCGAGCAGGGCTAGACTCACCCTCAAGGGACCGATACCTTCTTGCTGCGGCGCGCCCGCCGCGAGGCGTGCATAGTGGTGGAGTTGGGTCGGCAGTGGTGCGTCAGGTACAAAGGTGCAGGTGCGCGGGCCTCCGGCCGTCGGTGTATGTAGGCATCAATGCCCATCCCATCTTTGTGCGCGGAGGTAGACGTCATCAGAAAGGTGGACGGGCACTATGTGCACGGCCCTAGGTTTGCTAGGTAGAGGGAGCCGTACTGTCTCAGTAACCTGGTTTTGCCATCAAAGGAGGAGGGGACAGGTCGTGGTGACGAGCTGATCGGGCTGGGTTGACCCTTCGGCGCGAGAATTTTCAGACCAAGAACCCTGCAACGAGGGAGAAAGCGAGGAACCGACTGGGAAGGCCAGCAACGAGAGCGTGTACGAAGCGGAGCGGGTCGAGTTTGGTCGTGATAGGACTGGCCACAGCGGCCCCGGAGCAGCGGCACCGTAGCAGCGGCACCGGAGCAGCGGCACCGGAGCAGCGGAACCGGAGCATGCGGACGGCATCGAACCGTGGCGCACGGATGAAAATCTCTCTCTGCCAGGACTCGAACCCATGATCTGGTCCTTGGCAGGCTGCGAGGCTACCCACTAGACCACCGGGGCGACCGGGTGGGCGTGTAGTTTAGTTGTGAGCATGTAAACGTGCTGCAGGGATTGTAGGTGTACCTCCTCGGGCTTGTGTACCCTTTTCTTGCTAATATGCTAATAGTGTGTGTGTTCTTTAGATCTTCTGATGGCTCTAGCATTTTTGTGACCACGGACCGAGTCTTTGCTAGATTTTGGGATTAGCAACTGACACGAGTTTAATGTGGAGAAAAACAACAACAACAACCCAGATAGTGGTCTTCGCCAAAACGCACTTTTTTTTCCGTATACCTTTAGCCTTCGCATATTGTTAAAAATACAGTACATATATTACGACTTAGCAGACCACGCGCTGGCTCGAGGGGGGGGTCCGAGGGGGGGTTTACCCCCCTCCGGCACTCGTATGGTGACCCAGCAGACAACGCGTGCGGTGGACCAAGCATACCACCCGTGTGGTGAACCCAGCAAACCACGCGCTGGCTCGAGGGGGGGGTAGTTTGACCTAGCATACGACTACACGTGCGGTGGACTAGCCAAACCATGGCCAACAAACAGCAGTAGACTGCTGTGTGACTACATGCACAGCAGTATGGCGTACAACGGCTCGCACGTACGACCACGCATCATAGGCACACACATTCACAGGTACTGCTGATGGAGGTGTACACGTGTGTAGCTGACAGAGCTGTGTGTGTGCATCTCTCCCTGTGTGTGCATCTGTATGTAGCTGCGGCAGACAACGGGTGAGTGACGTCAACCCAGCAGATCACGCGTAAGAGATCCATCTGCTGTCACCTCCACACGTCCCCCTCCTCGGCCTGCTCCCCGGCCGGGGCCGAAATCGACCGAGTGAGTCCCTCGCGGGCGAACTAGGACACCACAGATAGTAGGCGGGTGGTGTCCCAAGGTGCAACTCACCGCCGCGCTGGCTCAGCGTGGCGG